GCCTGAGGACCTGTGGGGGCGCCTGGAGAGGGAAGCCGCGGGAGGAGCAGGACGGGGCCACATTGTGTGTGAGCGCCGAGGGCGCTGGGACTCCAGCTGGATGGAGAGCCCTGGGTGCGAAGGGAGCCGCACAGGAGCAGGCGGGCTGAGAGCTGGGTCCTGGGGTCACAGGCGGGACTCGGGCTGCAGGTGGGGGCTGCCGAAGCAGCTGCCTGCTGGTGCCAGCCCCCTGGACCGGTGCCCAGATGCAGGGTCTCCCCGCAGAGCAATCACAGTCTGCAAGGTGTGCGCCCACCGAGGAGTCGGGGAGACGGACGCCTCCCCACGGAACCACCCTGTGCTGGACCGGGTGCTGGATCCCATCAGAACAGGAGCCGCCATGTGCCCTGTGCCCACGAGGAGAGGCACGCGCCTCCCGATGAGTGGAGAGATGATTAAAAACTCAAGCGGAGAAAGAGAACATGTAAACAGCAGCCACACGGAACTGTCAGAACCGAGAACTGAAGCGTGAGCGTCACACGCACCAGATGGGCCTCGCTAGCAGAGGGGAGGAGAGAGACTCGTCAGCGCACCGGAGCCCAGGATGATGGCAACCACCCACCATGAGGAAGGGGTGGCACCGAAGGCGGCGCCTCCATCGCTGGGAACAGGCATCGCTCGCACCCAGGGGTCCCGCCTCCATAAAGGGCGGAGCCTCGGGCAGTGAGAAGGGGACGGGTCACCTGACGGACAGCGGAGTGAGCCTCGCCCGGGATCCCCGGGGGAGCTGCAGGGCGCCCCGGGGTGGACGGAGGGTGCTGGGCGCGGTGTGGGTCTCCAGGACGAATGAGGGGCATCGGCAACGACCGACGAGCACCAGGAAAAGAGAAAACGACTGTTTTCCCGGAGTGAGTAGGAGGGGGAAGGGAATAAAGGTGGGACACCAAGTCCAGGAAATTGGAAACCGACACAAAATAGACACAATTAACGGACCAAGAAACGAAAATGAGAAAAGCACAAACCGTCAACATCGGGAAGGACGCAGGTGGCTGTTCCAGATCTTTCCAAGAGAGTAAGAAAGCGTTACGAGTCACTATCTGCCAATAAGCTCAAGGAGATCAAAAACACAAGAGGATTCACGAATAACTTTACGCTAACAGATCTGACAGCTTCAGCTAAAAGGACGAATTCCCAGAAGAAGGCTCCCTATCCAGGGGACCCTAGACAAGAGGAAGTCCGAAAGTCTCTACAGCTATTTTGTAAAATCAAAACAAACCATCCTTTTCACCTCCCCCCGCTCCCCCAGAAAAAGTCCAGGCCAAAATGCTTTCGCCGGTGAATTCTACCAACTATTCCAAGAGGAAAAAACATCAGATTTACACAAGCCCTTTCGGATGACAACAGGGAAGGGGCCACCTCTCCACCTGTTTTGCGAGGCCAGCCGAACCCTGTCACCAGAACAGACAGGGGCGTCGTAAGAAAACCCAGCCACGACAAACCAGTGTCCCGCGTGATCACCGACAAGAGAGTCCTTCACAAAGTCCCTAGCGGTTTCCGGAATCCAGCAGCATTTGACCGCACAGGGTGGAGGCCGGAAAGCAAGGATGGTTTAACCCTTGACAATCAGTCACTGAAATTTACCATAATTAACAGGATAAAGGAGAGTCCATTATCACAAAATGACCTGGGCCAGGGGAACATGCTGGTCCCCCCAAGATGGCCGCAGAGGAACGGACCGAGGTGAGCACCCTGGGCCTCGCAGCCAGAGGCGGGCAGGGCTCCTGACGAGGGAGAGGGGCTGTGCAGGTGGCTCCCACGCACCCAGGCTGGCCCCCCGGGTCCTGCTGGAAGGACAGGCGGTGCTCGTGGGCACCGGCCAGGCAGTTCTGCAAAGTCAGTCCAGGTTCTCAGTCCGATGGCAAAGGATGGGCTTCCTCAGGGGAGGAGCGAGATGTGGGAGACAAATACAGAATAAAACGCAACTGGTCACACAGTGGAAGCTGGAGAGGGTACCAGGAAGGGCTGGCAACCGGGATGCAGGTGGACAGCACCTAACGGCCACCAGCAAGGGGAGGAAGAGGGCTCTGTGGGTGCGGCTGCCCTCGAAGGTGCCATCCTGCCCTGCGTGTTCGGAAAGCCGGGCTTCGGGGGGGGGTGCCCACAGCCATGGGCACTGCTGTGGACGTGGCGGTTGGAACCCCAGAGGCAGGAAAGTGGTCCTTCTCCTGGGGCCACAGTGCCAGGGGGACACGGGGGCCACCCCCTGCCCGGAGGCCCCAGCTTCCCTCTGCAGGACAGCGGCTCCCAGGACCCTGTGGGCACTGGTTCCTGGACGTGGGCCTGGTGAGCTCTGGTCCCAGAGAGCGGGTGACCTGGCAGCTGGAAGTCCTGCATTTCAGCCCCGTCTCTGGCTGTGACTCGGGGTCATGGCTGCCTGGGTCTCGGGCTGCCCTGGTTCGAAGGGGGTGGGGAACAGGTCACCTGTCCCCCCACCCGTCCTGCTGGACCACTCGAGGGTTCCAAGCTTGCTCTTTGCTCCCACGCCCATGCCAGGCTCGCCATCATCGCTTCCCGTGGCTTCCTGATTCCAAGCGTGTGCTGCTGGTGCCCGAGGGGGGCCTTCACACAGTAGGTTCTCAATTCAGGAGCCTCGGTTTAACAAGAACCGTGGGGCGGGGGAGCCCGGGAAGGGAGGGCCAGGCCGGGCGGGGCGGCTGAGGGGTGCTGGGCTCAGCGCCCGCCTGGAGGAGGGGGAGGCCAGGCAGCCACCGCTGCTCCAAGCACAGGCCACAGGACACCTCGCGTGGGTCCGGCCTCATTTGCTAGGAAATTTGCAGAGAGGAGAGAGGAGGGTTAGTGCCGTTACCTTGGCAACTGCTCTGTCACATTCTAATGAGGCTGGCGAGGAAGGAGGCTTCTTAAAGCAGCAGGAAGCCCATCCATTGCCGCTCCCTGAGTCAGCGGGCAGGCTCCCTCCGGGACAGCAGAAGGGGGGTGGGCGGGGTGGAGGGGAGCTGGGACCCGATGTACCAGCTGATGAGCAGAGCGGTGCCCGATGGCTCTGTACTCACTGGGCCACGTCCGAGCACAGCTCAGAGGTTCAGGGCTGGTGTGAAGGGACAGGGCTGCTGCCCGACGGGCCGAACCCCCGGGCCCGGGCCCCACGCCCACCTCCCCACCGAGCTGCCACCCTGAGGCGCTCCGTGGCTCCCCAGATGGGAAAGCCGCTGCTAGGAAGGAAAGCAAGAATCTGACCAGTCGGCAGAGAGCTGTGGCCTGGCCCTGGCTGTGGGCACCTCGTGCCTGGACTTCAGGCAGCCCAAAGGGGCCATCGGAAGCCAAGACCCCCGGGGAGCCTGCTGGCGGCCCCCGGGACCAACGACCGGGGTGGGGTGAACACGAACATCACAAACCCTAGGGCACTGACCATGCAGAGGCGGGAAGGGGAGGCCAGAGGGAGGGACACGAAACGCCCATCTTTCTGGCCAGCCCGTGGCCGACGTGGGCAAATGGAACATGTCTCCGCGGACTTTCTTTCTCCGTCTCCATTCCTTGTTTCGCTGCAGTTTTCCATCCTTTGGGCAAGTTCAGGTGCAGCCCAGGCCTTGTCCGCCGCAAAGGACCTGCAGCTCCGTGGCACGGCCGTGGCTCACCCGCCCAGCGGCTGGCAGCGGGGTGGGGGGCCGACTCGCCCAGGGTCACAGGTCACAGGGAGGGGTTGGGGCTCAGAGGACCTGGTCTCCCACATCCCTTAGCCTCCCTCTGCACTCGCTCAGAAAACGCCCGCCTAGCGGTCGCCACGCAGTGACGACACGGGCTGTTCTGGTCTCGCTGTGACATCATGCTCTGCACTTTGCTTCCGGCCGGTGTGGCTCAGTGGTTGAGTGTCGACCTATGAACCAGGAGGGCAGGGTTCAATTCCCGGTCAGGGCACAGGCCCCGGTTGTGGGCTCGGTCCCCAGTGTGGGGTGTGCAGGAGGCAGCCGATCCATGATTCTCTCTCATCCTTGATGTTTCCATCTCTCCCTCTTTCTTCCTCTCTGAAATCAATTTTTTAAAAGAATTTTTTTAAAGCAATGCAATGAGTCTTGCATTAAAAAAACACAGCAACCCACAGCCTTATTAAGATATAATTCACATACCTTACAATCCGCCCCTTGAAAGTGTGCCATTCAGTGGTTTGGGGTATCATACATCATTATTTCTTTCGATTGTGGTTACAAATTGCAGATCTAGTAAAATTTTAACCGTTTTAAGGGAACACTTTAGTGGCAATGATGACACTCACGCGGAGCAGGACCGGCCCTCAGCTCCCGGCGCGGGCTCCCTCCATCCCCGTGGGCTCCCTCGGGGCCGGGGGCCACCGCGTGGCTTCCTCTCATCGCTGAGCGAGAGAGCGCTGGGCAGGCACAGGCACAGGCAGGAGAACAAGACTCCCACCGCCCGTCTCTATTCCCAACTGTGTCAGCATCCAGCCCACCCTGCCTGCGAGGCCCCACCAGGAAGTGCCCGCCTGGGCAGGGGGCGGGGGATCTGGCCCCCGAAACCCACCCACCTTGGCTCCCCTGGAGCCCAGCCCTCAGCGCTCAGAGAACAGAGTTCCCCCGGGGAAGAGCCCTGGAGAGGGGGCGTGGCAGCCCCCACACCTGCTCTCTCGAGGTCCCCAGGCCCAGCTCCTTCACCCAATGCCCAGGGGGGCCTCCTCCAGAGCCCAGTGGCATGGTGACTGGGTGGCATGGTGACCAGGTGGCATGGTGACCGGGTGGCATGGTGACTGGGTGGCACGGTGACCGGGTGGCATGGTGACCGGCAGGAGTTGGCTGGCATCTGGGCCTCGCTCTGGAACGCCCTGGGTGGCCCTGTGAGTCCCCTCCCCCACCCGCAGGGCTCCTTCCCACCTGTGACCGAGGACACGGGACCACGTCGCCCACAGCTGTGCCTCCTGTGGCCGGGGGAGCCTCCAGCTGTCAGCGCTTTTCCTCATGGAGCTTCTTTGCAGGACAGACATGAGAAGTGAAGGTGGTTGGGGTTCCTCCCGAATGAAGGATTGACCTGGAGAGCGGGTCCCAGGCCCAGCTCCCGTGGTTGGAAGACTTGGTCTCCCGCTGGGAGCTCATCTGGAAGGACCGGCATAGGGGGAGGGGGAGGGGGAAGCGAGGAAGCTGTGCCCACAGCCCATGGTGGCCAGGCCTGGGGGTGAGGGTGGACGCTCAGGGGCTCAGGCCAGGCTTCTTGGGGAGGCAGAGCTGTGTCCCGTCTCAAGCAGCCCCACAGGGTCCCTCACGAACCAGTGCCTACCCACCCCACGTGCACGCACCCACCCAGGACACAGCACCCACCCCCACGTGCACACACCAACCCCACGTGCACGCACCCACACCCACGTGCACTGTCTTTTTAATTAAAAATCATACAAGGTTGAGGTGTGGGGCGGAGGGATGTGTGACACACAGTGCTTAGAGAAATTGATTTTCCAGGACAAGCAAGAGAGCACAAATGCTTAAATAATCTGCGACAGGTGAGCTTCCATGGACAATTGTGGATTGCTAAGAAACAGGCAGATAGAGGTGATTGCTGTGGGAGAAACAGGAAAAAGCTGCACAGGCAAGGCATTGAGGGTCAGTATGGTGGTGGTAAAGGCTCAAGGTCATCATCCTCAGATCCCAAGGTATGCAGGGACCACCCAGAAAGTCAGGTATAGCACAGGGCCTCTCACCCTGCTTCAACATCTTCAGCAGAATTGGGCAGGAGAGGAAAAACAGAGGGTTGGACACTGGGGATGAAGGCAGGAGAGGAGAGGGGTGAAGAGAAAAGGGGAGATGCAAGAGGAGGCGTGGAGAGAAAGAGGAAAATCAGGGGGGACAGGAAGCGGGAAGGGACTCAGGAGGAAAGGGGAGAAGAGAAGCCACCTAAAGTCCATCACTATGGAGCCCTGACAGAATCAGGCTCCGGCCGTACAAGGGACTCCTATGCAGCAATTAAAAAGCATGCTGTCGATCTGTATTTATTGGCATGGAGAGACGGCTGCCATATACTGCTAAGCCGGGAAGGCTGCTTACAAAACAGGGTATGTAATAATAGCCCAAGGTTAAAAATATTTTTTGGCACAGAAGGGAAGTCTGGACGGACCTGTAACTTGTGGTGAGTAGGCGTGGTGAGAGGCTTAAAGGTGACCTTATTTTCTCGTTTATTGCTTGGATGGGGCGTGCAATGCCAGACCTGACTTTCATAATTAGCCAAAAACAATAACACTTGGTCGAAAGAGGACACGGGTGAGATGAATTGCTGGGAGTAGAGAGAGGTAGTTGTCAGGGAGCAAGGCAGAAAGCAGGGTGGGAATCCTGGAAGGAGGACATGGCCAGGAGCCAGCTGGGTACCAAGGCCCCGCTGGATGTGCCAGTAGGTAGGGAGAGGGGCTGAGAGCCCCAGGGATAGGGAGAGGGGATCAGAGTAGAGGAGTGATCGGCCGCACTTGGGATGGAGGGAGGGGTGCAGATGACAGAGCCTGGATCCGGCTCCCCAGGACCCCAGCTCTGGCCCAGCTGGGCTGTGGGGGACCCCCTCCCTGCT